CGCGTGCGCCTTGCCGCGGAACTGCGCGCAAGATTCGCGCTTAGCGGGCAGGATCAACACCTCTCAGGCGACGCTTCTCTGGTATCCGGTCTTTCATCTGTACAATAGTGTTGGGCAATTAACATATATTACAAGTATGACAAGTGTGCAACCACCGGGATTGAATCTGAATTCACAAGAACATAAATCAAATTTCGACATGCTATATTAGAATATAAACAAATTTATTTTGTTTTATTTGTACATATTTACATATTACAATCATGTCAAACAATCAGCAGCTCTGATCACTTACTGATCAACATGCATGCAACACTGCCCAACTCCCAACACTCAAAATCCCAATCAAGCGAGAGTCACAAGGCTGCTTAAATAATGGTTCAGTCCTCTTATAAACTCTACACAGAAACATTTTGTCACCGTATTCAGCAACTTCAGGTGTAATATCCACAACTTCACAGCAAGATGTATCGCTAAGAACATAGCCATTGTTTGGTTTCTTCTATGAAATTTTACAGCTACTGCCTTGCTGTTGGGTCGTCTTCACAACGGTTGACTAACTTAATCGCTTTGCTATTTGTGCAACGGAGTTTCTGCCTGAACGAACCATCCTCTTTAACTGCATGTAGTTTTCAAACGGAAAAGCACTGCAGTTGTCTAAACAACCATATTCCTTCACATCTGAAGCCAAATAAATCTAACAGTGCACATTGTACACTAGGAATTCATTGTCATACAAGTTGCAGCCCTGTGCAACAAAGTGCACTAACCGTTTATGAGCATAACCTCTGTAGGGTTGAGCAAGTTGTGGGCAGACAAGAATGGAGCTTGCAACACTCGGAATCATGAAGTGCTCAAACAATTCTAGTCTCAATATACCTCGCAATGCAATCTTCCCTGTATACAGCAATAACTGCCTGTATTCTGTGGCTTTCCATCTATCCACATCTGATAAACTTCGCGGCTTACGGGGAAAATTGTGAGGGATAAATGTTTTCAGTTCAATCAATTTCTTGCTGACTTGATCAATTTGACAGGCTGACATTTTCACATCTTTACTACTTCTCATCCATAGCAGAATTAACTTCTTCATCACACCAAGACATAGCTGGTGCATGTAATCGATTGGAAACGATTTCACCATATCTATGGGCAAGTCACAAAAGGGGGACACGACGTGGTGATGTTCTTCGTTGCACTGGTTCCTGAAGGATGTGTCGGTGCGAAGCTCAATGTTAGCAATATCCGGGTATGTAACCCTACCAAGCCACCTCTCCGGGCACATTTATCACAACCAAAATAGCCTGAGAATAACTTCGTCTCTTTCACTAGGGCCTTCGCTGGGCGTCACAAACGATGCACCTCGTGGTAATGCTAACTGTTCTGTCACCATCTTGTACACCATGCTGAATGAGGTTGTTTAGCTCTTCCATTGGCTTGGAGTCTCCATATGTTAAGGTTGCAGGGAAAACTATTACAGGTTCAACATTCACAATTGCACACAACACTGGCCATAGACTTTTGCGTGAACTTTTAAAGAGTGGAATGCCGTCCACATTTAAAGACAGTAAGTAGCGACCGTTTCTCTCACACTTGCAGGATATTGTTTGAAATGCTTCAGCATCTCTCAGTCCAAAATAAATGTACTCCATTCCAGATTTAATTTTTTATCTGTACGTCTTTGGTTGTTTTCAGCAATGTGTGCGCAGAAGCAGGTAAATCAGAGTGACCATTTTTCTTCAGGAGCTTAAGAAGGCTATCCACTGCATTTTGCTTAACGTTGTTATCACTGACCCACTTAGCCAAGTCATCTTCCAATAAGCCACTATTGGCATTCTCGGTTTCATTTTCTGAGTGATAAAGTCACATCCTAATCAATTACATCAAAGCTCCACTCCGCATTGCTGCATGCTCCTGTATCATCAATGTCATCAATGTTTTGTCCTGGACTGTGCATAGACTCACTATCGCTAGTTTGTAACACCACACTTCCTTAACTCAATGGCACAGTACCTGCAGCTGGAGCTTCATCATCACTGTTATTATCTCGGTGCATATTACTGATAATACTTGTTAATAACCGATTAGCACACATCCACTTTCTTTTGTACTTGAGACGATTTGCCTTCATTTTGTCCAAACTGTAATATACCCGGAGGCCAACTTACTTTTGAATGTGTTTCAAAGGCAAGCAGGAAACTTGGGAGATACTCTAGCGAAGTCTAAAAAACATAAAAGAATAGAATTACACACGTTTCACAGGCTTCCTGGTGGAAGCTAAAAAAAAAACGCGTTGGAGCCGAAACCTTTCCCCACGATGCTCTTCACCGTTCGCTTCTTCCCGCATTTGCCAATAATCTCTTCATCTTCTTCTGATTCGGATTGGGATTGTGATTCTTTCTCTTCCTCCTCGTTTACCCCTTCCTCCTCCTCTTCCTCCCAGGCAGGGGACTCGCCAGGGGACTTGGCAGGGGACTCTTCATCCCTGTCTGTTCCTTTCTGTTTCTGTTCTGTCTGTCTGTTCGTCTTCGCTGTTGACAATGGCAATACGTCGCGTATTGCAGTAGTGTAGAATATGCCCTCTGTCGTACGACGAGTTGAGGATGAAATACGGTTGGGGCTGCCGGTGCTGCTGTTAGTGACGGTGTCGATGCTCCCCCGCCGTAGACGCTGTTATTTATGCTAACAACGATGGTGTTGCCGACGCTGACGACGACTCTTTCCCTGACGAGAAAGCTGGTATTCTCTTGATAGCGATTAACGCTAATGTTGACGGTGATGATGAGCGCAGACGTGCGATGTGTAGGTGGCTATCGCTGCTATGCTGCTGTACTGGCGACACTGCCCCTGTCGACGTTGACGAGGTCTCTGCGACGGTGACGATGGCAGATGCCGTCGTTACTGTTAATGTTGATGTTTACCGCTGACTTTGCTTCCGCACGAATCGTGGTCTTGACGGCGCCAATGAAATGGAGCTTCGAGATCGTATAGTGTAATTCTTCTTAACGTCGCCTCTCCAGATGTAACAGTGCGACGCGTAAAGTTTGTAATTAGTAAAAGTATTGTATAAGAATCATATGTGATTTTGTGTGCATAAGCTGTCAGGCTAGCAAGGCGCGTCGGAAATGTGAACAACATGTTTACGCCAGTGCAATGACAAACAGGATGTCAGTTCTAACTGCGTAGAGGCAACCCGGATGTAGACACGTACGCACGCGACGTGGTGCAGTGCGCTACAGGCGAGTGGCGAGGGGACGCTTTTCGGCCTGCAGTGGCCTTGGGGACCCCTGATGTGACGCCACCTCGCTGGGCATATATATATGACCACACCTTGGGAGCTCTTGAGTTTTGCAAAACGCGCGCACAGTTACTATTCATGTATTAGACTACATTTTCTGGACTCGCGTGAGCAATAATAAATCCTGATGGAAGCTCATTTGGACTTTATTTGTGTGATCGCATTTTCTTCAAGCGCAACGCAACACGAACGAACTGGGTTTCCTTTCAACCGTTTGGACATTATACAATAACAAAACGCACGGTTCAGAACATTACTATCTTAAGATCACATCGAACTGAAACTTAAAACAACAAAGTTTCATTGGCGCCGTTCGACAGGATTCGTGCGGAAGGAAACATCACACAGCAACATTAACAGTGAAATCGTCAGCATCATCGTCCGCGTCTCGTAGTGTCAGCGTCGGCAGAAATCGCGTCATCAGCATCGCAGAGGTTAGATCGCTCGTCTGCACCGCATATAGAACTGTATCAGCGTCGGCGTCAACGTCGATCGCCGCAGCGTGAACAGTAACAGCAACAGCAACAACAGCAGCAACAGCGCCGACAGTAGCATCATTACCGTGAGGTGAAGCTCACTGCACGAGATGTCGACACACTAAAGACCACTCATATGTGCCAAGCTCTTGCTGCACCATGTTCTCAAATGTTTTATGTAGACCTGCTGCCTTTATAGTATGAATGAGCACATCACCCAAGCGCTGAAGTTCGCGATTGCGAACAGTCGGTCCCGGGAATAGGAGAATCGATTTGATAGGTGCAGCACCTGCGTCTTCGGCCGGATGTTTATCAGCAGGAGCTTTAGACATGTCGTCGAGAAAACCTCAGAGAATGTGTGAAATGGAGTTGCTATAATTAACGAGTGCTTGCGCATGCTTGACGTTGTCCAGCGAGATGCTTGTTGGTATAGCTGTTGCCAGGTCATCTCGAACACAATGCTGTAAAATGTGGAGAATGGCAGCGTTGCATACAATGAGCTCAATTCTTTTAACATCAGTAACGGGTTCACCGCTGCTGACCTGCTCGTTGAAGTTGATTCTTGCCGCCGTGATGATGTGAGTGAAGGCAGCAGGGCAGAAAGTGTATACAATTTTGTATACACTGCGTCCTCGCAGTCATGTGGCAATCATAAAGTTTGATAGCGATGCGCGCTGGCTCGTGATATGTGGCGGCAGTGAACTGGGCTGCAGCTTCTAGAGTCTCTTGCGGCATTGGCAGCACCAGCATGGGACATATCAGCAGAAATCTTGAAGCGCCTGCAGAAACAGATCCATCTGCATGCACCCAGCGATGGAAATGTTTGCTGAGTTGAGCGTGATGTGGCGTATTGCGCCGTAATAGGAGATCCGCTCCTGCTTTGTGATAGCAGCTGAATCTCTCCGGAAGCTTGGGTAGCCTGATGGTGCAGGAGGTCGCCGATGTAAGCCCAAAACTCGTTGCCTGCTACTAGTTTATTTTGGCAAGGGAGGCGACCTACGTGCTTCAATAAGCTCTCCTTCGTCCCGATGTTGAAGATTAGAGATTTCTGGTGCTCCTTCGCGATCTCGTGTGTGCCAGCTACAATGACAGTATTGAGCGCTTATGTCTTCCCACTTCCTTTCGGGCCGACGATGACAGGTGAGTTGAGAGGTTGACGTAACGCGGCTTCTCGAACTTCGACCCACGTCGGCATCAATCTAGTGATGAAGCCAACAAAGGCGGTCAGCAGAAACATGGCGTTAGACGTGCACTTTTTTGCCAAGCATTCCAAATACTGGGTGACGTCTTGGCAGACGAAATCGGTGAGCTGGCAAAGACTTTCCATGCAAGCATGCTGTATTCGGCATACTTGACGATCTGCAGCCGGATATCCGCGCGAAGCGCTCAAACGCCGCCTAGCGGCGCACTTTTGCGAATTCGCTGCCCTCTTCCCAACCCCATTGCTCCGGTCCTTCCTAGGTATAGGTGAAAGCCGGGTTTTCGCTGAATTGAGCAGTTCTGCCCATTGCACGAGGGATCCCACTACCCAGTTAGGTAGAGACTGGCTAGAAATGCTCCCAATTCTTTGTTCGCTACTAGGCGCGCTTTCTTTGCTGTAATAACGGAGTTTTTTGTTCACATTGTAACAATATATAGCGCTCATGCGTAGCGTTGACTGGCTGAGTTTAGAGGATCCGATATATAGGAACAATACAACATGTCTTCGCTATTCGTAATAAATCCAGTTTACAGTTAGTTTCATTGTCACTCTTATCTGCTATTGTATCTCTGCATAGTTACACTCCTCATCAAACTAAAGATTTCAACATGGTGGCAGAAGTGCCTATAAACTGTGAACAGTGGGAAGCTTGAACTGTAAGTGTTCCGTAAGAATTCACGTGAAATTCCGGAGTGCTCCGAATCGGACAGCCTCGTGATTCTACAGTACAGGAACCTATATATATTATATATATGATATCTAACACGATCCCCCAATGCGAGCATCGAATTGTATCCACACCTACGAATACTTCTATTACTACAAGTACATGTTACAATAATTACTAGTAAGTACTACTAGGAGCTACACAGGCTACACTAACTACTTCTAGTACTGAGTAAGCTACCGAGGAGCTAATTTTAATAGAAAACTGATGTTACGGGTACTGAGTAAATTACTAATAATGGACGGAACCTCTGTGTAATGTTTACTCAGGACGCCATCTGAAATAGAATGAAAGTGGAGTGCGGCTAGATCTCTATATTAGCTCCAAGCGAAACTTCTAATTGCTTTCTATGGCATGGCCTACATCCATTGACTATTGAATTGGCGGATTTTCCTGTAAATCTCGAAAATCCTACTCCAGACCCGTGAACGCTGCCGCCGCCATGTGGGCCTCTGTGCGCGCGCGAGCGGCCGGCGCGACTGATTGCACGCTGTACACAGACTGATATATATCAGCAAGGGTAGGGAAGCGTCACGGAACCAAAATTCCGGAGGTCGAGCGCTGGGGGGCACGGGGCGGTTCTCGAACCGAACCCTTCATTTGAAACTTATCCAGGCACATACAATTCACTTTCCATCTTTGTTTTCTCCTTATGAACAACAGAGTGTTTCACTGTGCTTATATGAAAACAGTAAGTCTCTGGCATCTGTTCGTAACGAGCTAGTGTCTGCGAATCACACAAGACTGACGAAATTCTCGCGTTCGCGAACCTTGCCCAGTAATGGAAAATGGCTGTCAGAATCAGAACACCTACCGGCGCCTCTTCAGTGCACCTCAATCTTGTGCGCCGCAACACTGCAACGTTTTGCAACGCTTCCAATGCGCCGAGGCTCGTACGGCGAGTATGGAAAGCCAGTTGCGCCGCCTGCGCGCCGCCTATAGCCCATAGAACTGCCGAACTCGCTTCCAACGCTCTGCGCTTCTTAGTCACTCGCGGTAATCGAGGTGAGCGAAGTCCCAGTCTATATAGCTTGTCCTTGCAGCCATTTCCATTACTGTGGCAAGTTCTCGCCGAACGCGAAAAATTTCGTCAGTCTTTCTTGTATTCGCGTGACACCAGCTCGGTTACGAACAGAGACATTATGTTTTATAACGAAGGAACACTGTACCTCCGTCGACCAAATGTGCTGCCCTGCTGTGTCTCCCGCGCACTAAAATCTGTGGACTGTTCCGCTGGGCAGCTATGGATGCGTGCCTGAGCCTAAGCATTGTCGGGCGCACAGGATCGCATAGCCTGCCAGCCCTGCATACTGTCAGTAGGACGTTCCGCGGATCGCGTGCGCCTTGCCGCGGAACTGCGCGCGAAGATCTGCCGCTCAGCACTTCGGGTCAACACCTCTTTCGCAACGCTTCTCTAGTATCCCGTCTCATCTGGATCTTCAGAGAATCGCGTGGAGCATCTTGCATATGCCATAGTGCGTCGATGAGATGAATAAAGGCGGCTAATAGACGTGGTGCAGTGTATTTCGCAAAGGAGTTTTTCTTAAAACA